CCTAACAAATGAATGAGCAAGAAACACACATGTACCTGAAATTTCAGCAGACTTGAAAATCACAATTATTGAAAATAAGAACAGTTCATTGTATAATTCAAATTCTTTATATCTTGATCAGACTTCAATAATTCTTCCTGCACTACACATCATTGTTTCCTTCCAACACTAAGACCAGAAAAACATTCAACTGATCAAGCTTGCAAGTTCAGGATCAATTAAGCACCCTTTTTTGCCATTTTTGAATCATTTCAAAATTCCTACACTACATCTGTACATAGAGAAAGTCTAAGCACAATATTTATGCTAATTGTTGAGCATTTCAAAATTCCAGGGCGAATTCAAAGAATACAGTATAATTTCTTAAACAAAACTATGACTGGGTGAATTCAAAACGGGGCAAAATTGTTTGCGAGAGTGAAAGGGCGAAAATAACCCTGTATACAGTATTCCATATGATCTTGAAAATAAATAATTAAATTTCTATAGGTTTCCACCTGATCAAGATCAACATGTATATATGTTACAAATGAAAAAAGCTTCCCAAATCACACATGGCCTTCCCACATAGATTTATTCTTTCAGACATGAACTTCTCTTCCTCCCTATCACTGAAATGGGAGGATGGTCAGGCAAATTCACTAAAAATGTGTCCATCTCTGGCACTTATTTATATGCCCTATGTCAATCCAGAACTATAATTAGTATTCATCATGTTTATTAAATTGGTATGGTCATGATCTGACTCTGCAAAGTGCATTAGGATTTAAAAAACTTTTTTTTTTCTACAAAAGCTATTATAATTTATAAATGGAGAAAACACCTTGAAGATCTATTTTCTCTAAAAAAAAAAAAATATACATGTATTACCTTGCATTTTACAACTCTGATGACACGTTTCAGCAAATAATAAGAACACTTCTAAAATACAGCACTCCCCCTTCAGACTAATGCACTTGAGCACAAAAATACTACCTTGTAGATTAAATACACTGCAAGTGTTGACAGCCGTTATGTACATTTATCTATTTTCTTATCAATTGCTCTTTGCCACACTTATAAGGTTGGTTATATCTATCATCTAACAAAGGGACACCCCTTATCATAAATTGCTAATAATATTATCATCAGAGCATGTGCCTCATGTTTTCACCACGTTAATATTCTAATAATTTTTTTCCTAACCAATGTGTCATGAAATGGCCATTTAATAAAATTTAAATGGGTAATGTAGATTAAAATTACCCTAATTCATAAGACAATTCATACTGATTGCATAATAAGTACTGGAGAATAAGATTCCTAGAAAAAGCTTTACTTTCATAGCAGCTGGTCACATACCACCTTCTGAAAGATTTTTGGTTGTATGTATCTCCAAAGAAATATCTTAGGAAATTGAGTAACTGTTGAACTTGTAATGAACCTCTTTCAGTTTTTTTAATGGTACCTGGCTCAAAATTCCCTTATGGAAACAAGGTCACAAACAGCAAATGAAGTATATCTGAAATGGATTACCAGATGCAATATTATCTCATAAATCCTGAAAAGTATCAACAATTTGAATAGAGGCAGGGCAAAAACACAGACCCTTAGGTACACTAGAAGTAGGACCCAGTGCTGAAGAAGAGTAAGCATCTCCTATTGACTGGTCACATTTGCCACGATCCGTCGGTACTGTAGAGTTGCTAGTCCATAATCAAAATGGTTTACAAACAATATAACATGATATTGGTAGAAAACTTGTCAATCAAAATTCAACTAAACATTGAGATTGTGACTCTGAATAAAAACAACTTAAAAATAGACTATTGAGTATGGACAAGGTTAATGAATGCCCTGTTATATCAACTTATTTGTCAGGAGCCTGTCTTCGTATAAATTAAATGCTCTTACATATCGAATATGTTGAGTGACAACACTATATATATTCAGGTGAAAGTGGGATGTCATTACAAAATAAGAGCAATAAACAAGGAAAATCTGAAGTCATCCTTTTTTTGTAACATTTTGTTCATTTTATGATGATATCTAGCTTTGACTAAATTTGTGTTACAAATACAATCCATCCCCAAATTAGCAATGACAGGCATGCGCGAGTTAAGGCACTTTCCTATTCTGCTCCATGCTAAATAGGTCATGTTTATCAGTGAATTAACAGCTTAAATTTCTGTGCATACTTTAATTTCTTGATTCAGATTAAAAGTTAAAAGACCATTTAGGATAATACATACATCGATTCCTGACAAAAGTGCTTAAAAAAATGCATAACACGAGATACTCGCACGGTTATATAGATAACAAAGACGTAATGTAGCAATGACAGGCATGCGCGAGTTAAGGCACTTTCCTATTCTGCTCCATGCTAAATAGGTCATGTTTATCAGTGAATTAACAGCTTAAATTTCTGTGCATACTTTAATTTCTTGATTCAGATTAAAAGTTAAAAGACCATTTAGGATAATACATACATCGATTCCTGACAAAAGTGCTTAAAAAAATGCATAACACGAGATACTCGCACGGTTATATAGATAACAAAGACGTAATGGCGGCCATTATGTGAGAAAACCCTGATGTTATAAATAGGCATTATAATGCTTAAGCACGTGATATTAGACAGTCATATGAATGTTTTACGAAGGCTGAAAGATAGAGATTTCTAAAAACATCTTGGGTACGTAGATCAAGTCCCATAAATAGAAATTTAAAGCGAAAGTAGATGACATATCGTGTTCAACTTCGTTTCTTTCGTTAATTTGCCGTTTTGACAATACTTTGACAGCAATAAACAGATGAAGAAATCATTTTTCTTTCATTTGGTATAAAGTTTCTTAAAATAAATCGTTGCGCATAGGTGCGCAATGAGCTTTAACCAGTTATGCTTGACAAAAACGTCGACATTTTTAACAGGGGCAGATAACTGAAATTCCCGCGCAACATCGGAAATATTCTGAGGAGGCATTATTTCTAAGTTGTATATTTGTCAATCAATGTCAATATCAAGCTGTTATATTCTTACAATGCTAAAAAAAGATAATAAAGTAAATAAAATGCATGATTTTAATGAATCAGATCTATGAACTTTGATTAGTATCGCTGCATTCTGCAACTTTAGTTTAGGATACCATTTGCAGTAATTGGTGTAATGTATGGATAATTATAATTATTATAATAGATCTATATGTTTTCATTTTTTTAAATTTATATATTTCTTTCAAACAATTTTCATAACAGAATAACAAGTGATTGAACAGATTAAGGGGACCTCGAGTTCATACTTGGAATTTCTTTTTCAGGAATTTTTTTTTTATCAGATTTATACACATGTACCAGTATATCGTACAGCTAGATTAGCATAATTTTAAAATTTGAATTGCTCAAAATAAAAACAATGAATGTTAATACTTTTGAAGTGTTGTTTAAATATTAGATTCATATTTTAATCAAATTGTTTCAACAAAAAAGAAATAAAAATATTCTAACAATATTATTTTGCAATATTTAATAATACGGCACGTCGATTTACCCAAATGGACCCAAATGGAACCCAAATGGACCCAAATGGAAACAAATGGACCCAAATGGAAACACAAATGGACCCAAATGGAAATCAAATTGACCCAAATGGAAATCAAATGGAATATTAAATATGTATTATCGTATTTTATTACTTATTTAAAATGATTAAAATAAATGATCTTACAGTTAAAATTGAGTTTTAAATTAATAAATCATTTCTAACATTGTATTTTGAGACATGAAATTGAATTATTTTTATATCATTTTATATGTACCGGCAAAATCAGGGGGGTGGTGGTTGGCCTCTCATCCCCCCCCCCCCCCTCCACTTTGTTCTGACTGACATGGACACTCTTTACTCCAGTTTTGTATCCAATTATGTGCAAAAGTAATTACAAATGGGAAAAAATCGAATTTTGTTTTTTTAAATACAATATAAGAAAATAATTATTAAAATGTTTTTCTTTTATTAAGTTCATTATTTGCAATATTTTAAATAAGTAAACATTTGAGAATACGATAATACACTGTATAGATATATTTTATATTCCATTTGGGTCCATTCGATTTCCATTTGGGTCCATTTGAGTTTCCATTTGGGTCCATTTGGGTTCCATTTGGGTCCATTTGTTTCCATTTGGGTCCATTTGGGTTCCATTTGGGTCCATTTGGGTAAATCGACGCACCCTAATAATACATTTTTATAACAATATATTTAAAGATATAATAATTTAAAATCCATGAGTATGTAAATAAAATCTAAATAATATTCTTTGCTAATGTGTACTTCATTAAAAGTACTCATGTTCTATCTTACTAAGTGCCTGGTTTCCCTATTTGGTATAACATATATAATTCCGAGGATCCTACAATTTATAAACTGAAAAATGATCTGGAATCAGGGGGCTTGAAAACAAAAGTTTAATAGATTTTGCATTTGATTCTCAGAGTAAAATCAGCAGTAAATGCTGTCATTATTTAAAATTGTTAAAAATGAATATAAATTTACATTTCTTCAAGCGTTATTATGATTTTTTTTACAACCGAAAAATTGGCAGAAAACACGAAATGCTACTGAATTTCAAATACTTGTATCTTTTTTGTACATTGACCAATCTGAACAACCTTTACACCATTGAAATCCTTGTAAACAGACCTTTCTTTTGATGTAAAGCAAGTGGGGTTTCAAAATTATTTTAAAAATTGCCTGTTATTGCTACCCAAATACACTTCATAAATAAAGATAAGTCAGCAAATTTCATACTTTACGAGGGGTAAAAATTGTAAAGGACAACTGTTGACACTCTACAGACATAAAAAATGTGACAACATGCTGGGGATGAATTAGCATATCAAAACACAACAGATCTAGTCTAAGCGCGCACTGTCGCAATATCTATAGGCTAGTTCAACATTCGAGAAATTCTTTCGGTAATTTCAACCCAGATGTAAAAATATGATAGAATTATGAGCATATTTACCTGACAAGAACATAATGTATGTAATCAAGCCTTCCAAGTTTTTATTCCATTTAATTCACACTCTACTGTTTACATGATGTCATGACGCTGTTTCGTTGTCGGCCATTAGTCACGTGGATAAACACAGCTTTTAGGGATGGGTGCGTCGATTTACCCAAATGGACCCAAATGGAACCCAAATGGACCCAAATGGACCCAAATGGAAATTGGACCCAAATGGAAATCTGAATGGACCCAAATGGAATATAAAATATATCTATACAGTGTATTATCGTATTCTCAAATGTTTACTTATTTAAAATATTGCAAATAATGAACTTAATAAAAGAAAAACATTTTAATAATTATTTTCTTATATTGTATTTAAAAAAACAAAATTCGATTTTTTCCCATTTGTAATTACTTTTGCACATAATTGGATACAAAACTGGAGTAAAGAGTGTCCATGTCAGTATGGAGGGGGGGGGGGGGGGGGGGGGGGGGGGGGATGAGAGGCCAACCAACCCCCCTGATTTTGCCGGTACATATAAAATGATATAAAAATAATTCAATTTCATGTTCAAAATACAATGTTAGAAATGATTTATTAATTTAAAACTCAATTTTAACTGTAAGATCATTTATTTTAATCATTTTAAATAAGTAATAAAATACGATAATACATATTTAATATTCCATTTGATTTCCATTTGGGTCAATTTGATTTCCATTTGGGTCCATTTGTGTTTCCATTTGGGTCCATTTGTTTCCATTTGGGTCCATTTGGGTTCCATTTGGGTCCATTTGGGTCCATTTGGGTAAATCGACGTGCCGTTAGGGATCGGGATCGGAACTCAAAATATATTTTGTGCCCTTGGTTGGCGAACTGGCAACTGGGGCTCAAAAATGACAACAGAATTTTATGAATCTCTGCCAACGTATGAGGAATTAACTGTTCCTGAATTGCATTTAACATGGCCTGAATTAAAAGCAGGGTCTTTATATTTTGGAAGATTTTGTGATAATCAATGCAAAGTAAGAATAACAAAATAACTCGAATTTTCTCAACACTGTACATTTTCACTCAGTTTGATTAGATGCAGATCTGCAGCTTGCTGCGGCCCGTTTTTTAAAAGAACTTACAACGAAGACCAAAATTTAATTTTGCTTATAACTTTCTAACTTACATTTGAAAATGGTTTAAATATTTTTGTAAAAGCCTTTGTGACATGACCCGGCGAGTTTTCCTTTGAAGTCAAGCATACTGTAACTGCGATACAAAACACTTTTTGTGGGCGTTTCTTATGCAAATGAGCAGAAACTGTACTGTATCTGAAAAATATCAACGATACAGTACGGTTTATTTTTAGCGATGACGGAAAGCTTTATCCGTATACAAACATACCAATGGTTCAATTCGCCATAGAACTGTTAGTATTTACTCAAAAATTGAGGTGAATTAAAAATAAAATTTTACAACGTAAAGATATTAATGTCGGATTCAAAAATTTTAGAAAGGAGGGAGTGGGGCAGTTCACAAATTATTATTTGAACCCCCCTCCCCCCCCCCAAAAAAAAACAAAAACGGAAAATCGTATTCCGTGGGGGTAGATTTATAATCAACCAACACCTATGTGCGTCATTTGGTTACTTGTTGATGAATTAAAAACCGTATGTATACAAGTTTAGAAAAAAAAAAAATTTAAGAAAGCGAAAGAGAAAAAAACCCAAAGGTGGGATGGGGGCACCAGTGAGTGTTGTATCCCCGTTTGGTTACTCTACATTTTAATGAAAACGTGAAGTAAAATACACCCCCTCCCCCTTTCCTTTCATCTGCTTATTTCAATTTTGTATATGTTGACCGGTGGAGGACATTGTCGAGACATTTCTTCAGAATCTACGATCTCCCGAAGCATTTTTGTTTCAAAAATATTCCCACATGATTCTTATATATCAAAATGTTTTGCATTAAATCGTAGCTTAAACTGAAAAAAACATGTCATCAAAAGGTCAGCAAGAGCTGCATAGAGAAAAAAAACCCTGCGCAATTAAATCTAAATAAAGTTTTTGGAAAACAAATTAATTTATGCATCTCTTAAATGATTTTAAAATGATAGATACCTGCACGTCCATCTCGCTCGGCATTTCAGTTGAAAATGTTTAAAATGGGATACTCAATCAACTTTCTGCAAAATCATTTGATTGGCTGGGAGGTATACACCCAAATACGCATGTAAATTAGTGAGGTCCTTAGAAAGGTCATGTCAAAGTCATTTAGAATACTCGTTTCACTGTATCAGAGATACAGGGCGGGGCATCGGCTCGAGCTATCGCTCTCGCCTCAAGCCCCGCCCTGTATCTCTGATACAGTAAGAAACTCGTACTCTAAATAATACAAGGTATACAGTACACGTAGAAATTTATTTTAAAAGTGTATAATATCAATAGCAATTTCAAACAGAATCATTAAATATGCCTTTTTACAATCTACTTAAGCTTTTTGTCTTAGTGGTAAGTTCTTTTGTAAAACGATCCCCTGGTCCTTAAAAATTGGATGGACGACCAGAGAGGTACAGTGCCATCTATTGTGAACACGTATCGTGCACAAAAAAGTGTGTATGAGCGAAGCAAATTTCAATTCTTCACATTCAATAAGTGGAAGAAAAATGTCCATTTATTTTTTTCTTTTTGCTGAGATCTCCAGGAAATATTCAAATGCTGAGTCAAGTTTGCTTAGCCTACCTGTTGATCTTCCCTCTGCTTTAGGCACTGAATCACATAAACTGATAAAAATTGAAAATTTGGGTCTCCAGCTGCAGCTGTCTGGTTGAACTATTGGACAGACAGACCAGGGAGTTACAGATCCAAACATTGTAAAAACTTTCTTTGTATGCTGCATTTTTTTTGTTTCAGGCTTTAAATATTTTTTCCTAGTATTATATGGGTTTCCCATTTTTGTTGATTAATCATTATTTTTGATGATTTATAATTATAATACAAGTAGTTCATATCATTTGAGGGAAATAAGCCTGTATGTTCATATGAAGGTAGATTAATTTTTCTGGATGTGCTACCTCAGATTTTCAGAATTCTTAAAGAAAATATATTAATATAAATGAATTACATTTTTATCAAAGCCAAATTGTCCTCCAAAAGCACTTCATAACAAGTTATACTGTAGAAAGGTTTTACAAGTTATGTGATAAAAATACAAGTATATGAACTGTTAATTAATTTAACTGTAGTGCTAAATGATGTTCATTTATTGACCGACTGGCTATTTCGAGGGCAAACTGAAATAATTTAAGAGGCCAACTGTCTTAAGTGGCCAGTTTCCAAACTTCCCAAAGGCGGCCCCTTAAAACAGGTTGGACTGTATTGTTTACACAAAAGAGTAACTGGATTGGTCTTATTGACAGCCTTTCCCTTTGTTAGGTTTTAAAAAAAACTAAATCCGACATCTTTTTGTGAAGCATGTTGAAAGTGTAGAGTCTTTGTCCTACAAAAAAAAAGTTTTCTGTGATTTCATGTTCCTTAGGCCATATAAAATTAATCTTTAGATTCTCATCCCCGCCCACCCCTCTCAAAATGTCCCGCCCCGATGTTTTTTATTTTGATTTTTGGGTATTTTCATGTATTTTTATTCAGTAAGAATTTGGGTCAAAGTTTAAGAGTTATCTCCCGTCTGTATTAAAAGTCGCGTGTCGCTATTTAAAGCAAAAACGCCATGTGAAGAATGGAGAAAAATCGGCAATAAACAATAAAAGCAGTTTAAATGTGTAAGGAAAAGATAATTTGTCAGTATAGAGAAGGCAGAGAAGAAAAAATAGCATTAACAAATATAGATACCATCACTGGCAGGAGCAAGTATGTAGAGAGATTGTAACTAAGTAAAAATAGACGAGGAAAGTCAAGTTATATATAACGATCTCTAGCTGTGTGACTTACCTTTGAAATAAAAAAAAAATCTACAACATCGTAGACAGACTGAAGAGAAGGCCTAGATTTTTCAGTAGAATAATTATTAGAACATTTATATAGATTTTGCAAAATAAGAAGTCACGCATACACAATTTATTGGTATCCCCACCTCATTTTGTTGCCGTATAATGTGCACTTGATAATTTGTTAATTAACAATAAATATTTAACTTTTAAAGAAAAAAAATTCTTTAGATATTTAAAAGAATATGAAAAGAATTAAATCTATTCATATTTGCATTAAAGTAATGAAAAAAATGTGTACGGGGCGTCCATTGTTTTGTTGATACTTAGGCCTACATATAAATTAACAATTATAAAAAATAAAAAATAAAATCCGCCTGTGCCCCAATTTTTTTGCAAATTAGGATGAGAATCTAAAGATTAATTTTACCTGGCCTTAGTCTCCGACAACTTTTTTCTTCATGCAGTGATTTTTATTTTTAAAAAGTGAATTTGATATATTTCGACAGCAAAATAATGATCAACTTTTCTCCTTTTTTCCAGGAATTCATGTTATGTAGACAAGAAAATAAAAAGAACCCAACTGCATGCTTGAAAGAGGGCAAAGATGTTACCAAATGTGGCTTCCAGTTTTTCGGCAAAGTAAAGAAGCATTGCATGAAAGAATTTGAAGCCTACTATACATGTATAGACAGAGACTATAAAGGACAACTGGATTTTTCCATGTAAGTCCTGGTCTTTAGAATTATATATTTATAAATAACAAATTAAGAAAATTACAGTAAAAAGTTTTAATCATTTTATGAACATCAGAGCTGCCAACCCTTACGATTTTGGCATAAGTCTTACTAAATAAGTGTCCAAAATATGTCTTACGATTTCTCACTATATGCTTCCGATTTCGTTTTTTTCTCAATCAGAGTTTAAAATATTGGAATTTTCATAAGTGGCCGTCTACAGTTTCTAGTACTATTATAATTGAATACTCATAATTCTTACAACGCTTGCTTGCATCGTCGTTTCGGTTTTAGATGGCTAATCACATTCATGTTAATGTTTGAAAGTAAACAAAATGGAAATGTGCCTTTAATTGCTCCGATTGCATGTCCGTTTTGATATTTTCAAAACATCTTCAGCGGCATGGGGCTTTGGCGGTCCCTGGACCATGCCTTACTATTTTTCATTTCAGAATGTTGGCAGCTCTGAAACATAATGGATCATCCAATCTAAGTAAAGTTAGATGTTAGGTCTGCCTGCAAACTTGCTACACTAATATCGTACAACATCCCATAGACTGAGGGTCATGTCAGAGGTCAGATTCCAAACAACTGTAGACTAATTTGCTTCAACAAATATACGGTGATTTTGCAGGTGATGATTTGATTGGTTGATAGAATTTGACCTCTGACATGACCCTCTATGTGGGATGTTGTTAGATGTTTAGTGTAGCGAATATGGGAGTGGATCTAACATTTAATTTTAATTAGATTGTGGATCAACTTCATTAACCATTAACCAACGGAAGTGGGTCCTAAACCCTTGGCTATCAAAGATGTTAAATGGATATTACATATTATGATTATTTTATAACATATCAAAATTGTTTACCCCTTGAAGATGTTAATGGATATAACATATTATGATTATTTTACAAAATATCAAAATTGTTTACCCCTTGAAAATGTTAATGGATATAACATATTATGATTATTTTATAACCTATCAAATTTGTTAACCCCTTCACTTCACTATACATATGAGCATGTTTAACAGTTCATGAATGTTGTATTACTTCAAGGTGAAAGCGTGGAAGTATCAGTTGTTATACATAATTTTATTTTAGATGCGGGGGATATTTCTTCAATCTCTGTAGGATTCATGAAGGATGAATTCAATCTATGGTTAATGTAAATGCCCTTGGCATACATTTTCCAATTTTTTAATACCATTTATTTGATATGGCAATGTTATCAAAATTATGAATTTTTAAAAATTGAAAGATGCACAGGGAAAAAATATATATATTTTCGTCTCTATTAGCAAACTGTAAGACAGTCAATTGTAGGCTTTGACACAAGGTAGAGAAGAAGAAATTTTTAATTTACATAAAACGAATGAGGAGAGAGAGAAAAAAAATATTCTCAAAATTTTTATGCTGAGTAATTTTCTTTCTGTTTTAGGTGTAGAAAACCTCAGCTGGTATTTGACGACTGCATGAAAGAAAAGCTGAACATTGATAGACCTTACATCGGATATTTTGCCCGAATACGTCTGGTAGACACTGAGAAACCACGCCGCGTCCTGAAAACACGGGAATACAGAAAACCCAAGGAAGCCCCTACAGCTGAAGAACTAGACAGGATGAAACTGAAGGCCGACCAATATCCTCTACACGTATTCAAATTGTTTGAGTAGTTAATCTGAGTAGCTAAAAAATGAACACTTCAGTTTTATAAAAAATGTGAAATTTTATGTTGATTAAATTATGAGAGTTGATTGATGTGTTGTTTTCCTTATGTGAATTCTGTATCATTGTCTAATTTTTTGCCATGACCTTTTGACCTAAAAAAATTATTGCTTTCTTCGAGTCATTGGGAATTGTGATATAAAATACCATTTAAAGGGTTCAAAGAAAGGCAAAGATATCATCTGGAAACTATTTGTTTGCAGTTTATAACTATCTGACGTTTGATCTCAAAATCAGTAGTCTTTTCAAAGTTATTGATAATGTCTTGTCACAGGTAATGGCTAATAATGCACATGTGAAATATGAAAACCTTAGCTCTTCTCATTCAAAAGTTATGACCAAGGTTAAAGTCTTTGTGACAGACTGACAGACAAATGAGATTCAATGTCCCCTTGCTTTTGCAAAATCATGGGACAAAAGGATATTCTATAGAAATAAGTAAAATTAGATCTTAGATTGGACAGATGTTTGGACAATAAAATGCTATCTTTGGTTGTTAGTATGGTAATTAAGGTTGCAGATATATATTTTTTCTGCAATAGCTGCAACATTACTTACCATACTAACAAATTATTAACAAGATGTATTTGTGAAACACTGATGCCCCTGTAGGCAGCTTATGGCAAAGGCTGAATTCACTCAAATGCATGTCAAACTCCAAAGGGCAAGGTCAAAAGTGTTGGTACCCAAAGGGTTTTTTTTTTTTTTACAAGGAATACACATGTGAAATGTGAAAGCCCTAGTTCTTACTGTTCAAAAGTTTAAGTTATGACCAAAGTTTTTAAAAGTGGGTCAAGGTCAAAAATATTTATACCGACTGAAAGGTCTTGCCACATTGAATGCACTTGTGAAGAATGAAAACCCTAAGTCCAACTGTTCAAAAGTTAGGGTCAAGGTTAAAGTGTGTTTTTTTTGTAAAAGTAGGTCAAGGTCAGTAGGTCAGATTTGGTACCCAAAGAAAGGTCTTGTCACAAGAAATACACCTGTGAAATATGAAAGGCATGTATAGCCTCACCCACTCAATAGTTATTGACTAGGCTAAAGTTCACAACAGACAGACAGAGAGATAAAAATACAGACGGGACAAAAACGATATACCCCTGGAATCTTTTGATCCGGGGCATAAAAAGACATTTTATTGTATATAATCATATATATCTATATAATATATATCGTCTATAGTAGGATTCAGTAAATAAAATATATTTGTAGGTCATTGTACATTTCATTGATGGAACAGCCACAGCTCAAGTGATTTATACGGTTATATACTTAGTATCCTTTACCGACAATTTAGAGGATATCAATTTGGACCCGTCTACTATTGTGAATGATGGTCAGAGTAACGACTTAGATGCAATTAAGTGATACAACTTAATTTATTATATAACCGGTTTATACAAGAATTTTAGATACTAAGTGAGATTTTTTTATGTTGTTGCATATTTTTAGCTTTTTTGGTTTTATGATGTGATCAATCAATTCACTCGCATGATAATTTGCATAAACGCCGAAGAAAAGAAAAGAGAAAGGAAAAGGTATAAAGAACCAAAAGACCTTTAAAATTTTGACCTGAAATTTAATCAATGGGAGTCAATCTAAAGGTAGATAAATTCATAATCTTGCATAGTGTTTCACAAACCTTGTGAAAGCTTCACACAGAAAAGGCTAAAATTATTGTTTGAAAACTATATAAGCAATATATATTTTTGACCGTCACCTTTAGACCTCTTTTTTTTTTGTTTTTAAAGCTGTACTTAGAGGTTTAATTGTATGAATTTATGACCTTGACTTTTGTTGTTTTGTTATTTTGACCTCAAAATCAATAGGGGTCTTGTTTGTGTCACAGGTATTTGCATTAAATTCTGTTGAAACCAAAGTTATCATCATATCATCAGGAAAATGGTATTTGTATTGAATATGATTTCGGTCAGACCCTCTGCCCCCAAAATCAAATAAAAGGATCCTTTTTAAACCATAAGGATTTTGAAATTGAAGCGCTGAATTCTTATTTAATGATGTACCGCAAATGGCCTTGACGAAATGTTAATAAAAGTATATCGCACTGAAAAAAAGGTTGGACCTAAATTTAATTTCAAAAGGTCAAAGGCTTACGTTTTTAAATCAACTCTAAATACTTGAAAAACGGTGTTGCATAGCTTTTTTTTAGCTCACTAATTGAGATGAAGAACCGTAGAAAATTTCTGACTGAGTTAATTTTGTCATCAGCGTGTTCAATCTCAAAGAGAGATATGGAAAATAAAAGCAAACCAACTTTTTGAAGCAAATAGCTCTGTTAACGTTATTCCCATTTTGTTTTCGAAAGTTTGTTAAATAGAAAAATAATAATATGGATGTTAATTTCAATAAAGTCTTTTTTTTTCATTTGGAAAGAACGATTTTTTAATCCTCTAGGATGACGCCCTCTGCGCTCTTAATCCTAGCTGTCTTAGGTCTCTGGGCTGCCATTATCTTCTTCTGTATTACTTTTTTACGCCTGGCTTCTGCCTTCTCCTGCTTTTCTTTGAGAAGCATGTCTCTTTCATCTGTTAATAATTTTTTTTAGTTTTTATTGCCACAAATTTAATACAATTACGGTATGAGATAGAGAGAGAGAAGGGGGGGGGGGGTTATACCTTTCCACTGCTCATCAAAGACGACTGTAGTAGACCTTAATTTGATAGGTGGAAGCTTTGGTATCTCGCATGACTTGAATTCAATGTTGAATGACACTTCATGCTTTGTTTTCACGAGATCGGACATCTTATTGTTTTTGTTTCGGCACCCCCACTTCCAGCTGGAGATGTGCAGAAAATTTGCCAGGGAAGAGGCTTGTTAGATGCAATTTCTCATCCATGACCTCACTTTGAATCTCTTTTATTAAAATTTATGTAATCCATTTAAATAATAAACACTTGAGAGGACGCCTACTATGTAATATGTTCTAATCTTTCCCAAAAGCTTTCCTGTCCCTGTTATTCTTCGCGTATACTGGGGGGGGGGGGGGGGGGCTGTCATCATGGTGCGGAAGAGAAAGGGAACCATGCTATTTATGGGATTTTCGTCCATTTAAGATTTAATTAATGCTTATGTTTGGGAGGGGCACAAAATGCCATCCATTTGTGCCCTTAAAATTTGATTTTGTAATGCGTTACCCTCCTTTTACACTTATCCCTTTCCATAAACATGGGGATTGCTATTTTTTTTTTTTATTATTATTATTTTTTTTTTTACAAAGGTTCGACATTTTTTAAAATTAAAATTGTTAAAATGAATATAATAAGCTTTATATTATTTTTAATTTTTTTTTTATCATTGATATACTGGAATGCAGAAATGTGACAATAACATGCAATACAAAATGTATATAATCATCAAAGTTTCTAAAACATTGATATTACAAATTAGATTTACGGAGAAAATTAAAATAAACACTTACAGTTACTGCAAGAATATAGCAAATAAAACTTATAGTACAGTGGCGTAGCATCGTTTTTGAAAGTGGGGGGGCCAGCCAGAGAAATTTTTTTTTCTTACCTGAAGAAGTTGACAAGCAAATAAAAAAAAAGAAAAGAAAAAAGTAGCCAAAGTCGAAAATCCTATTTCGTGGGGGCGGGGGGGGGGGGGGGGGGAGGGTGTAGAAAAAAGCCTTTTTCTCAGACTTTCAATACCAATTTTCAGTACATCACTACATTTTCAGTACATCACTAAAAGTCTAAAAGTGGGGGGGGGGGGGGCAACCAGGCTTTCAATTTACATTTCCTATAGTATAGAATAGAATAGAATAGAATTTATTAAGTAAGGTTGGGGAAAAAAGATGTGGGGGGCCAGGCCCCCTGCCCCCCCCCCCCTGTTTGCTACGCCCCTGTAGTACCAGATACGGACAGGTTTCCACCCTGTGTAATCAATTTTTATTTTACATGTACATATAGAGGATATTCAATGTTTTGTGGTTGAATATGGAATTTATTTCACGAGTGGGACAGGATTTTTTATATTTTCATGAGTGCGAAGCACGAGTGAAAATATCAAAAAATCCTGTTTCACGAGTGAAATAGATTCCATATTCAACTACAAAACAATAATTCCAATCTTAATTTTATTTATTGATTCCTTGTGTTTTGATTGGACGAGAACAAATTCAAGAAAAAGTTTACACATCGATGAATTTTTCACCAGAACTACTTTCTTGACTGAGTAAAAACAATGAAAACAGATACTTCTAGTCCGTTTTAGCTAAATTATGACTACAAGAAACTTATAATAAAAAATGAATGAATGAATGAATGAATGAATGAATGAAAAGGAGATAAACAGGACTGACAGATGGGAATATTATATTTATGTCACTGTCGGATCACGAGTGTGAATTTTTGAAATCACTGATCATGCTGTCATTTTCTCGACGTTCCATATCAGCTCAGTTGGTATCGTTGTGATAGGGAAAAGAAACGTACCTCCACTTTTGCCTTTTAGCATCAATTTCATATATTTACATCCTACAGTCTCCCTAAATCTTTGAACTTTCCAGAGCAAATCGAGGACGTTCGGTCTGCAACTTTTTTTGGCCATGGTCAAGGACGAATTTTTTTTTAGAAAGGTATTTACGATATTTTTTAAACTTAACCAACATTCAATGAGTTTTTATAAGTTTAATTATTGATTGTTTTGACAAATAAAGTTGGATTTTATCTATATTCATCTTGAATACGTTTCTTTGCGGCATAAAGTATAACATGCAATACAAAATAACGTATATAATATGGCGGCCTCAAAGAGAAATAATTTTGAAAATTTAAAAAAATCGTAATTGGAATTATAAAATTAAACACTTTTTTTTTCAAGAATATAGCATGTAAAACTTATTTTACTCACAAACTTTACATAAAAGTGCTTCGCACTTTTTTTTTTACCTGAAAAAGGCAAGTTTAACAAAAAAAAGAAAAAAGAACGTTTAATCCTATATTGAATTTTCTGTTTATTACATTAAAAAAAAATTCTTTGATTTTTCTTTTGCCTCTGTCTTTTTGTAATACAGTCATAGGCTCGTGACGTCACAGTTGAGCGGTTGAGACGTCATAGCTATGTGAAGTGAAAACACTGTAAATATGGATTTAGCAACATATTTTTGGGTAATTTTGACAGTTTTATTCGCTCTCAGAATGGTTTATTTATTTCCATCTATCTTATATTAGGTCAAGGAAGATTTTTTTACACCAATCTTCGTTATGGGAAGGGGAATCGAGAGTTTTCCCGCACTTCTGATATTCGTCACACTGTGACAGGATATCATTTTGATATCCTTTCACACTGTGATAGGATATCATTTTTATTCAATGAATAAATTACAGTATTTCACTTGTAAAAATGTAATAAATATAATTATTCAATCGTGGTAGAAATCATTTTTCAACGGAATCATTTTTTTTTGTATGTGGCAACTTAGGTACACTGACCCCTATTACTCTTTTTAAGTCTCTGTAACTTAACTCTCTGTTTAAACAAATACATTTTTCTACGACTGGCGGCCATTTTTTCTACGTCGAAAAAAAAGGCATTGTGTCATTATTCTTTGGGGGTATTTTAAACTCTTCCTTACACTGGCCGGAGTTAAATTAAATTTAACTTTCCGGTTATTGACAGTTTGCCTAAACTGGGTACACAATAAAAATTGTTATACCTTTATAAAATTGTTCCCATACAAATCTTTTCGAAAAAAAGTCCAACACATCTGATGTTTTGCTGAGCGGGCATAAAAAAATCGATGTTGGACCGCTGAGTGAGATGTTGGACCGGTCGTTGAGATGTTGGACCGCTTACGTCACAGAATGGGCGGAGCTTAATCTCATTTACATTCGTTGGTGTTTAACAGTGACGAATCTGAGGTTACATCACGGAATACAGTTAAAAATACATGTATGTAGAAAAAAATTAAAATGAAAGGTATAACAAAACATTTATTGACGGAGTTCGAGGGCAAAATGCGTTTTGTCGACCCTCGAACCAAACTGTCTGCCTTCGGCCTAACGGCCTCAGGCAGACAGTTTGGTTCTTGGGTCCGACAAAACGCATGTTGCCCTCGAACTCAGTCAATAAATGTATAGTATTGACCGTGAAGAAACGGTTTAATGTATAAAAATGTGTAAAAATATAATTACCCGATGACTTCTGAATTGATTTCTATTTGTTTGTAAAAAATCAAATGCTAATTTTGTTGACATTGTCAATTTAAGTTTTTCAAAAAGGATTATGTAAGAAATACCATCATCCGGTATCATGCAAAAGGCCTGGTAAGGTACCTAATTTTTGTGAGTAAACATGTTAAAGTAGCGATACTTCAATGACAAAATCTCAGAATAAAAAAAATTAGGAACGTATGGTCTGTGCTTAAGGGGTCTCGACCCTCTGCTATAATAAAAGATCCAGGGGTACATGTATATGTTTCCCCCTGTCCGTCCGTCTGCATGTCTTAATTTTGTCTGTTTATCTGTTCGTTAATTTTTTCCGCAGAAACTTTAACCTTTGTCATAACTTTTGAGTGGGTAGGTCTATGGCTTTCATATTTCACAGGTATATTCCTTGTGACAAGACCTTTCGTTGGGTGTTACCATTTGAACTCTTGACCTAGACCTTCATGTAGGCGTTTGACACACGTTTACAAAAAAAAAAAAAATTAAAAGTAACCTATAGCTTGGCCATACTGAACTTTTGAACAGTAGGTGCTTGTGTTTTCATACTTCACATGTGTATTCTTTCAGTAGATATACATGTTTACAAATATTCTTGACCTTTTGTCCTTGGCCTTACATTCTGACCCACTTTAAAAAATGTTTAATCCTGAAAGTTTTTTTTCAAAAGTAGGTTATATTCCAAGTCAAGATAGAAAGGCCAAAACTGTGATATCCAAAGGAAGGTTTTGCCACTAGGAATATACCCGTGAATGAATATTTGGACATCATTTTCTCGTTCCTTAACATTCCGGATTCTTTTGGCCCGTCTGTGTGGCATTTCTTGCTTTTCTGAGCTGTGAGATTTCCTGTTAGAAAACAGAAACATTTTAGAAGGTTGCATCAGTTATGAAATTATCATTCATCTTCTGGGAGTAATAACGACTGGTGACGATATGACAATGGCATAGGTATGACAAGTTCTGCACAATGTTGTTTGATTTAGCCATTGCCCGTGGTGGATGTAACACGCTACTTTCAAGTACAAGTCTTAATCAGCTGTTTTCGTTTTCACCTTGTTTCATGCAAAGTTTTATCAATGCCGAGACATATAAAACCGGGATTTAATATCTCTCTCGGATTTTCCCTCAAAACTTTTGACTAGGAATTCTTATTTCCTACCAAAACCAGGGACCTATTACTAGTATATATATAGTTCCCTGCCAAAACAAATCATGCCAAGAAAACCTTAGCATTCTCTCCATATAGCAAATTCAATAAAAGCCGAATTAACGTTAATCTGTGATTCTTCCCCGGGGAGATGTGCGCCAAGCAATTAATGTCAGCAGGTTTGAGGGAGGGATCTTAAAATTTACTGGGTTTAACTTATAGGTAGAATACTAATTATTTAGAAGATTTGCCCCCCCCCCTGTCCCAAAAATAGGGAAGGAAATTAATTATAGTAAAGTAATTCTTTAAAAAAATAAGCTGTATTTCAATTTTTTACATAGTTCAATTTCAAAATATTTTTTTCTTAGTATAAATTGGCATCTGGTAGTTGTGGAAGTACCGCGTTGAAATATAGATAAAAGGGTACCAAATTCCCGGACGCTTACATCATTTCCTGGTTGAACAAGATGGAGACGAGTACTGAATGGGTAGACGTTACCCGATTGGCTATGTAAACATTTTCATTTTAAAATGAATATTTTCTGTTGATTTTTTTTCTTATTTTCTTCAATCCAACTTTTTAAAATATAAATTTTGGTACCAGTGCCTCTGACATTTTACGTATTTTATAAATAAATAAAGATTTTTGACAGGAACTATTTAGGGCATAAGGGACTACTTCCTGGGGTAGACGTTTATTTTTTCTCTAACTAAGAAAGCTAAGAACCTAGGATCCACCCCCAGAAGTCTGCTGCCGTAAATTGTCTTGCCGGCGTTTTGGGAATATGGGTGATTTGCATCAATTACAAATGGTTTTAAATGACTTGAATGGTCTGATGACAAAAAAAAAACCATATGCGCACTACACTTGCCATAATATTCAACTTGTTGACTGGGGGCAGTAACCGACAGAAGATTGATTGATTGATTGTATGTTGTTTGACGTCCCTCTGGAGAATTTTTCACTCATATGGAGACACCACCATTTGCCGGTGGAGAGCTGCAAATTTTGTCCTGTACTCGGCATGCATTGAGGGATCTTTTTCATGCCAGCACCTACAGCAACACAGGACCTCTGTTTATACAGTCTTATCTGAAGGACAGGTCTTCTCGTCCCACTGTGGGATTTGAACCAGCAACTTAAGGATCAACTCCTTACTACCCCTCTGCGACTCTTAAGAGCAGATGCTCTAACCACTGTGCCACACAGGTGACCCGGCAGTAGAAGAAGAAGAAGAAGGAGGAGCAAATCAAAATTAAAAGAAATGCATATGTCGCTTCTGTGACATTTGGCCTTATGTGAAATGTATTCTACAGCATAATGTTCTAGATGAACTGTGTATTTTTTTTTTTAGGAAAATGAAAAGAACAGTGTCAGAGCTGAATATCTCAGAGGGTATTCATCACAACCTGCCTGAGTATTATTGACAAACTATGTGGAGGAACCTGTTTAGGGCCTCAGTGAAGAGGGGCATTAAAGGGGTTTTTCAAGTCTGGTGTGCTGGCTGTGGAATTATGCTATTTGCAAACAGGGTAGCATGGAGCATTAATGTAAGCAGATTTTTTTTTTCAAAATTAAGAGCCTTTGAAACAAGAACTTGAAGCATGCAAACTTTTTATAATTGAAAAACAAATAAATTCATTTAACATGTTTAAAACAAACATGTCATCATTAAAAAAAAATCCAAAATTATCTTCATTTTTTAAAATTTATTGCAGCTGACAGGGGATTCCATGTATCCAACAATTCACTCCAATGATAAAGCATTTATTGAGTACATGAGTGTTTCAAATCACAGATTACAAAAGTAAGAAATACTTTTGTGCTTTTATTTCCTCTTGCCTTTATTTACTGGGTTTTTCAAATGATTTTAGATGTAGAAAGAAAGAATAATTGATATACTTTATTTGACAAAAAACATACCTTTACATTTTTTGTGTATGTTTAGTGCATATATTTTTTGTATAATGTGATTATAAAATTTTGTCACAATCACAGAAACTAAGAAACGAAATATCCTGCATTTTAAAATTTAGCATGTCTTTTGTGAAACTTATGGGTAGAAGAATTTCTATAAACTCAGTTACTTGCATTGAGTTCAATCAATCAGGCACTTGATTTTAAATTAATTCTTGTGTATGTATAATAAATACCACGTGGAAGAATCCTAAACATATGCATAAATTTTTTTGATAGACCAAATTTTACACTAATTCAAGTGCACAATTCATTCACATTTGGGGAAAAATGTACAACTTTTTTTGTTATTGTAGAGATGACATAGTTATTTGTAAGAAGCCCTACAACCCCACTAGTTTAGTGTGCAAAAGACTGATAGGCATGGAATATGACAGAATCATTAAAGAAGATGGAGAAGTGGTCAAGGTAACATAAATCACAATCACAGCAATTTGCTAATGACAAACAATTTCGATTGATTATCATATAGTATTCATTCAATTTATATCTGAGTAGTTCCTCATATGTTTTAAATCTTCTTGGAAAGAAAAGAATTTTTTGAAAGTACAGTAAAACATGCTTATTGCTAAGGTGTTTATAATGAATTGACGATTATTGAGAAGTGATTTCATTCCCCATGATACTCAAAATAAGCACCTTTGCAACAACCACACGAGACTAACATATTCAAGTATTGAATCCAATTTCAAATTAAGCTTAGAATTAAATTTGTCCAACAGAAGTCAGAATAAAAAAGTTGATTTAAAGTATCAGAAATAAATGTGTACTAATTATCCTAATAAGACTATGGAACTTCAATACATGTATTCATCCAATATTTGCAGGTACCTCAGGGCCATGTGTGGTTAGAGGGAGATAATAAAGAGGATTCAGAGGACTCCAGGGATTATGGTCCTGTTCCATATGGATTGCTGGAGTCCAGGGTTTTCTATAGGGTAAGCTTTAATTCCTATGGGTTTTTGTTAGAATTTAGGGTTTTCTATAGTTCCAGTAAGCTATCATTTTTATGGAGTTTTGTTGGATTATAGGGTTTTCTATTGGGTAATTAATCTATCATTCCTATGAATGGGGTAATAAGAAAACAAACTTGTTCGATAGAAATCATATTTATTAACCTCAAACCAAACCCTAACTACAGAATGAGTACTTAAAAAAGTGGGCTTCATATTTTAGCGGCTTTGGTGTGGACATTGATGTGCTAATTCTTAATTAATGCTAAAAAAAATCATTCATAAACACAATAAATGGCGAGGAATAAATCATGAATATGCCAAAAAACTCAATACCCAGTTATTTCACTAATTCAGCTTTTATTACACCAATTTTTGTACACGTACAGAATATCATCTGTTTGATATTTAGGTAAAAGATCAATTTTCTACAGTTTTTTTTTTTACTACATGTACATTTATACTGAAAAAGCTGTTGCTTTCTATTTATGTTGTAGTGGTGGCCTTTGACCAGAAGGGGGTTCCTAGAACTTCCAGGTGAAGTGGAAATCAACGAGACAAGGCGGAAACCTATTTTATATACTGGCAGTAGCTAAACAGGCAAATTTTATGTGACTTTAATGTTTCTTAAAGATAAGGTATCAGTTTTAAACATACTTGTGTTCATACAGATGTAAATTATTTTCATACTTTTATTCATGCTACACTGTACATGTGCAAATAACAGGGTAATTTCCTTTGTCTTGCCTCGTAAACTTATAAAAAAAAGCATTAATTTAATAAAATATCAGCATTTATATCTGAATTTATTTAGCAATTTTTTATGATTTGTTTTTATTAATTTGTCATGATTTTATTTTTTAAATACATTGCAATGTAAGCCATTCTTGTGATTTCTAAGTAATTTATATGAAAACATACTTGTAAAGATGTATGTCAGTATGTTTACATGTTTAACAAATAAAAAATTCCTTATAAATTTTTTGATGTAAGAGGAATGAACTATCCAGATGTTGAATCTTACTTATTCTGTTCTGCAGTGCTTCAAGCCAAACGGCATTGGTTTATAAAACACATGTATATGAAACCTGTTCTGATATTTTCAAAAGATTCATCCTAACATAGTATCTGATTACCAGTAAATGTATTTCAGCATTGCTGTATTGTATATTTTTTAAGAAAATCAAAATACAGACAGATTTGCTTTCTTTTCTGGCTCAGGTGAAATGAAAGTAAAGACAAAAAACACTTCTTCAATATTTATTAAAACTTGCATTAATTTACATGTACACAGTTGTCACTAGTATATAAATAACTATATTTGTCACACTACATTCATGCCATACATCGGACCACAAGCAAACAAATATTTATGACTTTGCCAGAACTGAAGATAAGGCAGGAAGAAATGGAACTGGTATTTTTGCATTAAAACACTGAAGCAAAATTAAAATCAAGGAAGGCATTGATAGCACTTTATATCACAGGCTTGTGCTTTGAACTAAGTTAAAGGCAAGGTAAAAATGTTAATTAACTAAACTGAGTATTTACTACATGTATAACTAAGTACTATATGTCCATCTTGTCATGGCATTACTAAAACTTGGTAGTTATGACACTTCCTATTAAATGCACAATTGTAATATCTGTATGGTCACTGAAATTAAATGTTGATTATACTTTAAGAATTTTTTTTCTTTTTAATAAATTTGTTTGAACTTGAATTCCTTAAAAGTTACAATAGTTACATTCTCTGTATTTGTTTAAAAAAATCTGGATACAATTGCATAAAATATCACAAAGTAAAATATATTTCAAATACCCTAAAAAATTATTATAATACACCAAGGGCAATCGAAAACTAAAACCCTCATTAAAATATATTTAATTAAATATTAAAGTCCTCATTTTTGAAATATGTTTCTGCAGTTGTCTGTAAAGAGAGAAGGAGGGGGGGGGGTACATGTAAAAGTTGTTTCCTTTTTTATGACAAAGCTACATGTACAGTACATCAGAGTACATGATCAGCAGTGCCTATTTATAGAAGCAGTAACAGTTTAAGATAAAGATTACATCAAGTTCTAATAAATTTTAAATTTCAAGCATTTAAAAGCCAACATTTAGATATCCTGAGGGTATAAATTACCAGGTAAATGCATTTTTAAAAGTATACATGTAACTAACTGAAAAAAAAATTGAGGTAAAAAGTGGATTGTCAGCTTTCAGTTGAACAGCTTAAAAAAAAAGAGTAAACAGAATTTAAAACAAATTTTTCTATTATAAAATAAAAGTTGGAATGTTGTAGAAACATAAATATGCACTTATAGTACAAAGATAAGACTTGTTAACAATCTTAAAAGCAAGAGGTTTTATTGCTTCACTGGTATATGCTTAATAACAGTGAGTTTGATAAAACACATGACTGACAAGACACAAGAAGCTACAGCAAGTAAAACCCTGGATTATATTTTAAAAGTAGAAATATGCTTGATTACAATGGATAATACTGAATTATCTGGATACATGTACACTGTACTTGGTAAAGGAACTCTAATATTTTTTCTGAATAATGTAAAGTTGGAGACTTGAGACATTACTCCATTGACAAACCATTTCCAAAATAAATAAAAAAAATTTTCTCTTAGAATTCAGGTTTTTACCTTGAACTACCTTCTTCCACAAAGAAAGACAATCTTTCGGACTGAAATATTAAAGTCTTCCATTTAAAAACTTGGTGGTATAGACAGAGTTGACTAGAACAAAATAAAATGGCTATATTTTTGGCTTAGGACTCTTCCTCGAATTCTGTTGGAATAATTTCCATTTCAACTCCGAAAGCAGCTTCCCAAGGTTCACGAATTGAGTCCAACATTGACCTTGTACTCATGCTGGTTTCCATGGCAATGAACCACTGAGCCTCTTCTTGAGATTCTTCATTAAAGAAATTTATCTTGACTTTAGCACCCGTTAACTGACATACCTCCTAAAAAAGTAATTAAAAAATTATCATGATGACATAAAAAGTTGTGATGCCTGAAAGCACTTAGACGCTTTCTCTCTCTTCATATCAAATGACTACTGTATTTGTATTTATCCGCAAGCTCCAATACTTATTTAAGGGGGCAAATGCATTATTAATTATCAAAACTGATATGATTAACTCATTCTTCATTCAATGCATTTATAACAATAAAAACTGGTCAAGTTCTTACAATTCTCTTATAATTAAACCACTCTGTTACATTAAACTTTTCCATATCTTTGAATACAGACCACTAGAAATATCCTAGAATCAAAGTCTAAAACATCTTTGACCAAAAGCCATTTGAAAAAGACCAAGAAATAAGCCTACATTTTCTTGAAAACTCACCACAGAAGCAATGTTATTAATTTTCTGCCTGTCCAGGAGAACAAACTGTTGTCCTTTGATGTGTTCAGGTAAAGCTGACTGTAACCTTGGTAATGGCCACTGGTGGTTCTCTACGACTAGAGAGATGTACGTTTCTGTCACAGCCAGACCCACAGATCGAGTGTCATCGGTATTTTCTGTATAAAAGAAGTAATACTGATATGTAAAGGAAGAGTTGCTATTTAAAATTTGATGCTTAGATTTTAATGTCTCACGTAGAAATAGTGGAATTGACTTCTTCATGTGACATTTGAATATCTGCAGTGACAATAAAATGAAAAATGTTTGTCTCCCTTTTCTCTTTTTGACCAAATTTTATATTTACTAAGGTTGTCCTGTAAAATTGGGACAAAGCGTTTTTCTCGAAAAATAATAGGTGCACTTAGCTGAAAACTTAAGTACCGTAAATGTTTATATATCATATTTTAGTGCATTATCATTTTTTTGACAAAATTTAGACAAAAATAAAGATTTTATTATGGTTGAATGTGCATAGGGTACGGTCCTACGGCGTAAGGTTAAAAAAAGAAGGTTTTATTAAAGACAAAAATAAAATAGATAAGATTGGGGAAAAAATTATCCTTATTTGATTCCACAGTTTATTTTGTCTTTTTAAATAATTCAAGGCATTTGGTTAATTTTTGGCAGTTTCCTGAGCATTCGAAAAGGGAAAGTGGTAAACACAACACACCAAAAATAGTAATGTTTGATGACATTATGGCAGAAATTAAGTTTCCAACAAGTTTAGATTTGATTTAGCTCTTTCTGAATGTGGTAGATATACCCCGGTAAATGTACGATATACAAAGACATTTAGTAATGCATGAACTTGATTAAGTGAACTCTGCTTTCCGCCAAAATCACTAAGTAGAATACAGTGCTAAATATATTACGTTAACAGTAATTTCAAGTCACAGAAATTATATCTCTTGTATCATAATAGTAAATGCCTTAAAATGTAATTAAATTTTTTTCTGTGTATAATATCCAACCAACTTACCTGTAATAAATATTGCAGACAGGTACCTAACTAGGTCGAACTTGTTGTCATCGTCGTTGAGGTTGTGTTTGAACTTCCACCAGACTGTGTCCTGTAGATTACCCAGCGTGTCCGCATTAAACTTACTGATCCCCTCCAACTTACTCTCCTCACTGAAAGCTGTGTCCTGGATAATTTCTGTAAGATGTAAACAAATTCACTGTGTAAAGAAGCTGTGGATTATTTATGTAATACTAGTAATAAAGTGAACATATTGTAAACATACTTTATCCAACATCTCCAGAAAAAGTACTTCAACAGTATTTTTATCATCATAAATATTCAATATGAAAAACTAACAAATATCTGGCAAAGCCATCTTCAAGTTCAAACCTTAAAGCCTGCAAGAAACTTGCTGACAAACAAACAAACCTGATTCCCTTCTTATTTTGTAAATTTTATTTTACAGGCCTTACTGTCTGTGAAGTACCTCAATGCTTCTTGTAATAAAACTACCAGGATAATATCAAATTTCAAAATCTGACAATTGTTTCCTGAATCTATTCATATAAATACACCTTATCAAATTTATTCCCCCATATTATGTATTATCAGACAATACCGTTACTAAGCTGGTGAACACATGACTAACCTGTTACTAAACTGATGAATGATTTACATCTCTCTTCATCTCTGATCAGGAAGCTGTAGCTGGAACACATTGTATCAAACTCCAGTCGGACACTCTGATAACCTAGTCCTATATCAATGTAACACAGCTCAGTGATTGGCTGATTCTCAATGCAGGATAATCCATCAGTATTCTCCCTATATATGGTCAAAATGTGCATATGTATCAAAATGTGCATGTATTTCATATTCTTGTACACATATTTCAACCATGCATGATAAAATACATAAACTTTAATTGAAAGAAATAGTACTTGTAACTGTCAATACATTTTGAATTTTTCGACTTCATAAATTGAATAGTTTTAAATTATTTTCTTCATTATGACTATTTGGAATACTCTTATACTCTGAGTCAGCTCTTTTTGTTTTGTGTATTATAGTTTAACAGCATGATTTATTCTAACAAATAAATGAGCATATAAATAATATTATTGATTAAATCTGACCATTTACTTGATCTGCGATATAAATAGTTTATGTTAAATCTTACCCTTGGCCTGGATCAGTGATTTCTATGATCAGGACCCTGCTGGTAGAGAAGATGAGATAGGATTGGAACTCCGAAGACCTCATGTACTGGACAGTGGAACACTGGAAAGAACCAATCAACAGATGAGATCTATATTCAAATTTGTAGGTCTGATTTAAAAACTACAACATACTGTTGTTTGTAAAACACTGATGTCCCCATATAGTAGCTAATGGGGAATATTAAAGTTTCACAAATGCAAGTCAAACTTCAAAATTAAGATAAAGAGTTATAAAGGTGGGTAAAACACATTGTACAAGGCAAATGCAATAAACAAGGTAATGTTTTAGCACTTATAGGGACTGCATCATAAATCATGTGTACACATGCATTAGCAGTTAAGATGCAAGACTAATGCTAAAATAAAACTTTAAACTCTTAAGATTTAAGGAAAGGTAAACTTTTCTCTTTACTTACTTGTATACAAAACTGAATACTCTCAGATTCCTCAAAAACATTCATATCCAAGTACAGTTGTAATTTGTGATCAACAACACTCAAGTCAACATGGTGTAAATTGTCCAGGCTTTTCAACCAATCATAACCAGATTCATTCATCACTGCAGAACTGTCTGTCATGTCAACTCCATTCACCACTATCCCCACCCTCTGGGTAATGCTGTCTTGGGTACTATTTTGTTCACAAGTTTCATAACTGGAACTATTGTCTATGGATTCCTCCCCCGTTTTAAACTGGGAATAAATGCTTGTGTCTCCATTATTGTTCTCTCTATCTGAACACTCATTCATCACAGTCTGACTCGTGTCCTTTTGTGGAGAGTCATTATTTATGGACAAGGAATTCTCATACATACTAGATACCATGCTAGAACAAATACTATTGGACAATGGTGACCCTACAGGGGTCAAGTCTTCTTCCTCAATTACTCCATTCAAATTCAAACTCCTAGGAACAGCTACATTGCCATTTTCACCTTTATCTTCCTTTTGTGGAGTTGATGTCACAAAACAAGTATTGTCGCCATTTTGTTGTGATTCAGATATCGTTTCAACACTGGATTCCGATATCACAGATATGCTAGCATCACTGGGATTGGTTATCAATGAGATATCACTGTCTACAGAGGTTCGAGTTTTTCGATGACTCTGCTCGGTAGACTTAACGTCTGACCATGAATCAATAAGTTTGGCACTCTCCTCTTCCCTTTGTTTTTCACTGAGAGCTTCTCCGGTAGAATTGGATCTGGTTATTTCTGGTGTTGTCAGTATTTTTCCGATGTCAGAATGAGACATGACGTCATTGAATGCATAGGTCCTAGGCCTGGTCAAACTACCTGTTACAGAAAAATAATCAGTTTGTCATTTATATCATTAACATGTGCCTAACAATAATTAAACACATTCTCTTACACTTTATACAGTTTGCAATGATCTATAAGTATTGAACATTTTGAAAATATCTAAATTTTATGACTTAAGTTTTCACTTACCTGACACTTCTGATTCATCTTTTTTCCTGGTGGAAGAAAAACAAAATCATGTGAATTTTTATATATATACTATGTAAAGTGAAATCGCCAATCATAGAAAAAATAATTTAAATTTTTAAATGTATGGTAAAACGACGCAAACATACATAATTTGAACAATCATTATTTTTGAAAATTCGCTGTTACACTCCTTGTTAAAATTTCAATAAACAATTTTACCCCTCCTGTTTCATGTCCTCTCCATTGTTGGTGGGTTGAGCCCCCATGGAAACAGGGACCCCCTCCTCCTCCTCCTGGGCCACCTCCATCATCATCTGACTCCCGCAATGAGGGCACTGGTACCTCACCTCTATAAGAAAATAAAAACTCAATAATGAATACTTTTTTTACTGTAATAATTTTTGTCTTTTGAATACAGACTTAAAAGCTGCAAATGTCATTTTTTACTATCAATTCATTCCAGTGACATACCTGGTTCTGCAGTTTTGTCTTTTTTGTCAAATACATGCTCAGAGATGTCCACCTCCTGTTTGGAGACTACTTTTGAACATTTCAAACACTGTAATGGAAGATACTGTACATGTATATCATTAGTAATTTATGAAACCCTGACCAAGAAGTTTGTCATCATTACAGAGCCAGTTTTCTTTATGAAAGTCTACATCCACATATAAACTATACCTGTAGAAGATTTTTCTTTCTTTCCTCTGCCTCTTTAGCTTCAACTATTGGTCTTAATAGTTCCTCAAATTCCTATAAATAAATTAGAAATATTGACAACCACAACTTCATTTACATCTTGTGATCACATCGACAGCTACAAAATGCATCTTTCAATACTTCTCATAATTAATAAATATTTTTTTCTCATGTTCACTTTATTTATTTACAACCCTAATATAAACTGCAATAAAAAACATTTTTTAAGTTTATCTAAAGCTTATAAGTGCATATTTTTTTTTTTTTATAGAAATTTGCTGAAACAATTTCTGACTAACTTTTGATGCTACAGTGTTCTCCATTATGAAGACTCTTTCCCTCCTGTCTTTCTTCATGTAGTCAAACTTAGCCCTGAACACAAGGACTTTTTCATCAACTAAGTTTGCATGAGTCACTGCCTCCTCTTCAATCTGTTAATATAAACCAAGTTTGCATTCTGATATGTTGTGCAATTGCATTATATATTTTTATTCCCAAATACCTGCACTTGTATTTCTCTCTGTTTAATTCCAAAACATTTTTCAATCAAGTTTCGGAAAATCTAACATGACAAGTTTTACCCCATATGACATGTATAATTTTACAGTACATATCATATTTGATGGTTTAAAACCAAATCAATACCTTGAATGATAACAGGCATCTGAGATCCAGCATTTCTATGATCTTCCCGTCAATGTCTTTTTCAATCAAGTAGCGCTGGTTGAGGGTTACAAGTAAAACTTTGAGATCAGCATCAGGCAGCATTACAATAAAGGGCTCACATTCTTCTCCTGTCAAAAATTATACAATCACTATTTTGTATTCAATGAAATATCTTGTACTAGAATTATAAGGGTCTTCATAGAAGCAATAACAGCTAACCATGGTTGCAAAGAAACTCATGATTAACTTTTTTCTCTACTCCTTCTTTCCAAATTCAGTGTTAGTGCATCTTGCACAAAGCTTTCAAATATATCACATTCATTAGTTTTCTTGATATTAATCTTGTCTCAATTAAAATGCATTGCCATTTCCTTCATGTTATGAAACAAGCTTCCCATTCCAAAGAATGGTCAATAATTTAAATGTCAGCACAAATCATATGTCTACAATAACATACAAAGAAATCAGTCTCCCAACACATTACCATAGAGAGCTAATTTCTCTTCTTCATCCCTATCCCACTCGGCTCCCTTTGAGCTGTTCATTCTGTTATAGCCTGGGTGTTCACCAGACAGGGTGGAGAAATCTGAGGAAGAGGTCTTCATGATGGTTTCTGTAACAGAGATGCAAATTAGTTTTTTTTTTACACTAACAAACTTTCCCTCAGAAGGCTATACACACCTTGACTAAGAATGGGACATACACATGTACATGCAATAAATGCTCATTGCTATGAACATACATAATTGTTTACAAAAAATTGACAAAACTTGATTGAACCGAGAGAATAAATTTGAGATATCCAAGGAATTAAGATATTGAAGGTAAAATACACAAAGAGTAAGTAGTTGGGACTTCCAAATAACTTTGATATATCCATGATATTCGAGATATCAGTATTCAAGATAAAAAAGTTCAACTGTATTATATAATTGACTTACCAGACCCATTGGATACATGTAAAACTTCAATGTCATCTTCCATATCATTCTCTCCATGATGAACATCCACTGTACTCCCATTCAAATAGAAGTCATCTTCCGTGTGAACGGCTGGTTTTGAATTTGTGTTATCTTGAGTGTGATTGGATTGTTTTTCATTATCAAGTACAGAACTTAGTAAAGTTGATTTCTGTTCTCCATTCTCAATAATCTGTATACTACCATCATAATCCTTCGCAGATATCACCTGTATAATACAGAACATATAGATAATTCATTTTTACTAAAAATTCAAAAAAAACCAGTAAAAAGTAGATACATGTAACAGGAAAAAGACATGATATTTATACCCTGTTGATCGAAAATTTTATAATTCTACAAGGAGAGGTGGTAAGGTTTCTTTCCTAGTCCAATATTTATGATATACATGTACATATTTTTAATACAGAAAGCATATCAGTTTTTAAAAATTTGAAGTGACATATCATATGTGTCTTTAAGAAAATTCTTCAAATACCTGTAGCCAGTTTACACCATAGTGGTCTCTCAAGACTTCTATTTCTTCTCGTGTTGATGCCTGTCCCTCTACAATTCTTGTTGGTGAAGGAGCTGTTGGAAAGTTAAATGACAAATTTAGATTTATTTTAAAGTCGGTTAAGTAAAACACATTTACTGGGAAGACATACATCTTTCTACCAAGTATACAATAATAATAAACCATCAACTACGTAGAGTGAAAAGCAGGTACAATGAAGCATCAATCTTTAAGTTATTTCTTGTGTTCTCACTAAAAATGTGATTGTGACATGATACTCAATCATTTACCTATAATTTCAATGTAGTCTAAAATTCAAGAAAAAACACAAATCTTTAAATAATTGTCTAAAATAAAGTGGATTCCTGGTGTGGGGACATCATCATTCTCATCCCCTTCTAAAAAGTCAATACACTAAATTATATTCATACTGACCTCTTGAACTCTCTGGAGAGGACTGGTCGGTGGTTTCAGTGACCTCACTTCCTTCTGTGTCTGTCCTTTGTGACCTTACCCGGGATTTCTTCCTCCGGCTTTTCCTCCTGCCTGGGGACCCCACCTTCACTGCTTCTGCAATGTCGTCCGTGTCGTCAAAATTGTAGGACTGAGCCAGACTTGGGTTATTTGTTGACTGTCTGGAGCTTCTTTCTGCTGGCTGTTTGCCTGTGGACAATTTTCCTGTGCTCTGAAGGTGCTGTAAAAGAAGAAACAAAGCTTTATTATCGATGGTGTTCAAATTATCAATTAATATTGTCAGTGCCATTCTCTATCCTTGAAAACAAATTTAGTTGTAATCTAATGTCTTTTTCATAAAATGTATGTGTTGCATGGTGTATGTGGCAAACCTCTATATGGGTACTGAGTATATCTTTCAGATCATTAAATCTTATCATTTGAAACTTTAATATTAATGTTCATGCATATATTGGGTAAATGGAATTCCTTGCAGAATTTGATATTTGAACAAGATTAAATATTACATGTGTTAAGTATTGTAATATTTCTATTACAACCAACATCTCTTTCTATTGTACTACATGTATATATATATATATATATATATATATATATATATATATATATATATATATATATATATATATATATATATATATATATATATATATATATATATATATATATATATATACATGTATATATATATACCATAGCATGCACCTACCAGGATTTCTGCTGGTTTAACAGGTTTGCCATCCAGAACAACCTAAATATAACAAAATACCAAAATGAATTAAAAGAATTCCACATAATTTTCTGTAACAATAAGACACGTTATCTGCAACAGCATAACCAGAGATTATAACTGAAGCCTTACAGTAATCACGTGTGTCACGTACGGTAGTCAAAAAATTTACAAAATCTACATGTATCTCAACAGTACTGAACTTCACAAGTTATGTAATCCAAATGTCTTGGTACCACAAAAGCACATATTTGATATTTTTAAAATGTTTTTAGTTACAACATATTTGAGATCTTATTAATCTATATATATGCATCATACCTCTTTTGAAGTGATAGCTTTAGATGACATCTGATGAAGGGATCGGATTCTATGTTGTTGATGATAACTTAAAGGGTTGCCTTGCAGACTTATCTGAAATTCAGAGATTTGTATTTCATACAGATAGTTTTCAAGTCTCATATTACACTGTAGCATAAATATAGGTTAAAGAAATGTTATAGCTGTTATTTCTATACATTTGATTCTATTAACATTAAAATATTTTGTATTTCTAATAAAATTTTCATCAAAAGAAAAGATTTTTTAAGCAACTAATACTGTAAAACGAGAATATTTAGCGCACAACTAATTTTAGCACCTTTGGCGCAAGAGCCCATGAACGCTAAAATTTATTGTGCGCTAACAGATTTCAAAATAATATTTTTGTGTGTGTTCAAAGCTTTTCCATAAGTACATGTAAACCAGAAGGCGCGATTACATAATGTCGAAGGGTCATTGGATTTTATAAACACACTAGCACTGCTCATGGTAGGATCGATCAAGAAAGTTCTGCCAAATTATAATTTAATTAAACTATTGTTACCCCAGTAGTTGTTACCTGATTCTTATCATTAGCACCTTCAAAGTTTTGCTTCTCGGCATGTCAATCATCTACCTCCTCAAGGTAAACAGTGCAATTAAGCATGACGATTGAGCTTGCAGACAATACCTGATTTTGTTATACCCTTATAAATATCCTTCTATATATTTATTACTAATAAAAAGTCCAACAATAGAAATGTTTATTACGTCGGTCTAACAATTTCACTATTGACCGGTCTTACATAAGAATTGTTAGACCGCAACGTCACTTGTCTGTTACGTCACAATTAATAATCATCGTTCAATATCGGCGACGCGAAAATAGCCGAAGTTAAGAGCTATTAAGAGTTGTTGCTAACAGCAAGGTAAGGTAGAAGGGAAGAGTATGTTTTGTGATAAATAATTTTTGTGATATAATAGATTTATAATTGATTTTGTTTGTTCTCAGCTTGATGTTTTATATTTACTGAAGAAGCCATAATTTTCCATATAAAATAATTGATAGTATAGCGTGTATTGATAAAATTGATCAATCTTAAGTGAGCAGTGAAGGGTACAACAAAACAGTTATCGGGCAACATATGATTTGTTGGACCTGAAGATGAAAATGTTGCCCTTGGCCTGCGGCCTCGGGCAACATTTTCACCTTCAGGTCCAACAAATCATTTGTTGCCCTCATACCCAGTCAATAACTGTATAATGATTACCGTTTATCCAAGTAACTTTCTTTGGATGCATGCATTGTATTTATATGAATGAAATACGTAAATACACCATTTCTTTTATTTAAAATAAAATGAATTTTAACACTGAGTCATTGCAACACCACGGTAAAGTTGACGAATATTTACTTATATACGGGAGCGCTATTGTGTTTCCTTGCTTGACTAATCAAAAAGTCAAATACGGGTGTGGATTAAAAAATATATATCACATTTGTATATTTTTATGACAAGTGCAAGCACTAAAATTTATTAGCGCCAATGCATTTCCACCTGCGTTTGCGCTAAAATACGTATGCACCAAATTTTCTCGTTTTACAGTATTTATCTAATGATAAAGTTCAATTCAGATCAAGCAGTACATAATCATAAGTATAAAGGCTATATTTACCACATGGAGGGAGTGAAGTTTGTTGAAGACCCCCAGACAGGAGTGGTCCACCAGACAGTTCTCTGAGGCATCTAATTCCTCCAGATTTACCAGCATCTCAACTCCTGTCAATTTACAGGTAAGCAAAAATAATGGACTACATACTAGTATTATATTATGTGTAGTGAAATTTAAAGCTTTTCCTGACTGTGGTTCCTGATTATATTGTTTTATTATCAGTAACAATTATACATGCAATTAAAGCTCATCATCTCAAACTCTGATATCTCAAATACCAGGGATATGTCTATTGAGTTTGCACTCCCAACCACATATTTTAAATATTTTTAACCCTGGCCATCTGATATCATGAAGATTAATCTTGGTCACAGTGAGTTTAGAATAACAAGGTTTTACTGTACTTCCACTTACCAGAAAGATTGTCTAGGTTATTGTTCCTGATGACCAGGGTTTGTAGTTTATTTTGAACTGTAATGGAGAATGTTGGCACAGAATCCAACATGTTGTATCCAAGATTAATTCTCCTCAACTCTGTCAGGTACTGGGGACAAAAAATATAGATTTTAATTTAATTGATGAGAAGGGACTGTTTTATACTTTCTCCACAAAATTTAACAGCAAGAAAATCTAGTCAAACAAGAGATGTTTGTAAAACACTTATGCCCCCCCCATCCCCCAAATTGGAATTTTTCCAAGTCCAAGGGGCATAACTCTATCAAAAATGGCGCGATCGTACCCAAAACAGAACTTGGCCTAGATATTCAGCTGATAAATCTGTGAATATGTGCAACCTCTGCAAAGAAAATGAACAGAAACTGCAAATAACAGGAAGTGGAATTTTTCTAAGTACAAGGGGCATAATTCTGACAACAATGGTGCGATCGTACCCAAAACAGAACTTGACTTAGATATTCAGCTGATAAATCTGTATACTATTTCAATATTTGCAACCTCTGCAAAGAAAATGAATGGAAACTGCAAGTAAATTTTTCTAAGTCCAAGGGGCATAACTCTGTCAAAAATGGCGCGATCGTATCCAAAACAGAGCTGGCCTAGATATTCACCTGATGTATCTGTATACCAAATTTCATTTCAGTATGTTCAACGGTTGTGAAGAAAATGAACAGAAACTAAATGGACCAACAGACAGCAGCAAAGCAACATGCCCTCCCTTCTTTGAAGGGGGGGCAAAAAAAGTTGCATGCATTATGTTTTAACAGAAACTGAAGACAAAGCTATCAGAGATACATGCACCTGCATATATCAGTACTAAATAATATTTTTCAAAACAATACGTATATGTGACATTACACCATGTAAAAAAGTCTGTGTTTAATTGTTGTGTCTTTCTTCATATTTCCCATTTTCACATAAATCTCACATACCTCAAGGTAATTCTCTACTTTATCAATGTTGTTGTGACTAAGATCTAAAAGGTGTAAACTTGGCAAAAGTCTCTGAAAAAAATATGTTAAACTTATCAAAAGGTTATTAGTTACACAAAATATTGCTTTCTTCCACATTTTGTTTAAATGAATTTCAGTTTCATCATAGTCATTTTAAATCACTGTGAATAGCTCCTGTTAAATCCATAGTACTCACTAAAGATGCATCCAGTTTGGATATCCAGTTGTAGCTAAAATAAGCAGCAGTTAGAAGTGGCCATGACATAGGATTACTCTGGTCCCCTCCACAAGTCTCCAGAAATTCCTAAGGGTATATAGAGAAGGATAAAAATATCTCAACTTATCACAAGCATTAATCCTAAATAGTAAATACAGAAATATGTTATATACAGGCATATTGGAACAGCAGCTTTATATCACAGGAATTAGAATCTGCTCAATCTTACACAAAAGAAATTTTTATTATTATTTGACCAAACTAGTACACTTTAACTACTGGATTTCTTATTCAAAGCTGATCATGCATGTTCGCTTTGAATAGAAAGGAGAGCAATACAACACTTCCTCTTCTTTTGTTTTGTTTAACTCTAAACAATTGTATTAAATTGTGAAGCAATACTTCCTTCGCCATTAAGGTCAAAAGACAAAAAAAAAATTTAGATTGTATTTTACAAGTACCTGTAGTGTATGCAAACACCTGGTTACGGTTACAACATGGAGTTGTCCTCTTAACTTGTGCAATCCCTCCAACATGTGAGTTGGAATCTTTTTTAGCTCCAGAACCTGAAGACTTTTAAATCTTGAGATCAAAATAGGACCTTGCATTGTTGCTGTTCCATGAGTTATCTGAAAATTTCACAAATATAAAACCATTAACTTGATCCTAATGAACAAAAATGCATACAGGTTTCAAAGATTTTTTAATAATTTTTACCAGTTTTTCAGGATCCCGAATTTCACCCATTTTAAATTGACAAAATATCTATTTACAATATTCACTGCTGTAAATCACTAAATTTTCATGACATTTTATTTTCGTGAGATAGTCATTAACTCTTTATAAGTGAAACAGTGAGAATAGCTTAGTACATGTATAATGTTTAATAATACTAATATATTTAATAATACTAATATACAGATGAATGAAAATTTTTGCAAGTACACTGTCTCGCATTATTATGCGTAAATAAAGTTTCTACGGATAAAGAGTGATTTACAGCATTAAATCAACACTTACAACTGTTTTTTTTAAACACACTTCACTCACTTTTAAAGATACAGTTTTTGTGATAAAATCATTTAGAAATTGAGCATTGGTCCTCCATCTATAGAACTGATCCTGTTCATGGTTCATCCTTTCTCTGCCTCTACCTGGCCCTCTCCTTGACCTCTCAACTTCTTTTTTTGCCTCAAAGTCATACTTGGTTTCACTGTATCTTCTAAATGCATTATTCAGTTGACTCAGTGATTGTGTTGTCAAACAAAATTGAGTGCTCCCATTCAGAATTTGTTCTCCTGTAAAGCAACCTATTATATTCAAGTAAGAAAAAAAATAATAAAAAGCAAACTTAAAAAACAAATTGCCAAATGAATAGCTTAGATATATGTATTGTAATCTATAAAACATTTGCATGTCAACAAATCAGAATGTAGAATATGTCAAAAATTGAAATTATTAATCACAATTACCATTCTTCCGCAGAAGGTCAGCTAAATCGTTAACAATGGCAAATTCTTTCGGATTCAATTTATCCATATTATGAAAGTCTTTCACGTGTACATCATTACATGTCCTGGTTTAGCCCCTGTCATCATGGTCATACATTATGCATATTAATTTATAAAAAGCCTGGATAATTTCTCATTTCTGCGCATCTTTGTCAAATTATTGTTAAGTCTATTTGGCAATTAACAACTTTGAGGAAAATCAAACTACCACAAACGCTTTAAATGCAGGAAAAGGTGACAAGTTGAGTTTTGTTGATAAACTTTACCCTCATGTGACAAAAATAGTTCAGGAAATGACGTCATGGAAAAAAGAATATGATTAGACTAAAATACGTAAACTTGTAAATTGGAGTTCTCCATTAGGTTTTGTCACTGTCGAACATATTACGTTTTATGAAATGGATTTTCAAATTTTATCCAATATTTACATTCATTTCAGATTAATTTTAATAAGAGTTAGTAGTTTTTAATACCTATCCGGGGCTTGTCTACTATAATATTGTAGGTTCTTATTTCTACATCTGATTTTTTTTTTAAATTTATGTAGTGTATTACATTAAATATTTTCTAAATGTAATTATTTTTGTATATTTTGATAAGAAAAATAAGGTAAATCAATCACATAAATGCAAAATATGATAAATTAAGTTTCAAGAGTTGTCTATTTTACATTGAAGGAGTAATTAGTTTGCCCTTTACTTTCATTTTAATTTACGCATGCGTTGTGCATGTCAACACGCACCATGGAAGGGGAAACACAACCACCAAGGTAATGACAAACAAAGGTTTATTTCTGCATCTATTGCACGTAATTTATTTGTTCAAGTTTTTAAGATGAAAGTACTGATGTTAAATTTATGTTCTGTGATGTACACACTGTTCAGTGTGTTCACAAACAGGTCGGACATTAATGTAATGCATGCACAAGCATGAAACTTGCAGATGCACACCTTGTCATATGAAAGGCTTTGCATTTGCAGTTACACTTGATGATAGAATTTTGATATTGTTTTCTCAAAGGAAAAGCTATCCAGGTTTTAATAGCGAGCGCAGCAAGCGTCGCGAATCGACGCAGGTCACTGCGAGCTCTTAAAGCAATGCCTGGGTGAAGAGAGAATTTTGACAACTGCACATTCATTTGATAGAATTTTTTGATGCAGTAATTTGGACCCACAATGCATCGCTTCTTACACAAGGCTAAAGCAACGTTCTCGCGAGAATAAAAACAAAAAAGTTAAACAAATAATAAACTTGCATTGATTTAATGAATTTGTTGCAGAAAAATGGTCTATTAAACGGTTCTTCATTTCAAATCAGCTCTGTTCAAGCTTCAGTTTGATAATGCAACGTGACGTCAGAGTCTTAGATGCGTTGAATGTCACGTGCGGTTTGACGAGCCTGATCTAAATGAAAACTGGATAAGTATCTGCGCTGGCCCTAACGGTCACACCGTCAACATATTATGATCCATAGATCGTATTTGAAGTGGATGTGTAAAACTTGCACTGCATTTGTGTGAATGCATTTATATATGCTGTTTTATGTGAATGAAAAAAGAAATTTGTAAAATCACAGACACTTATAACAGAGATATATTATAACTCCACCATTTACAGGGGTGTAGGATCTGTAAAGATTTAAATCTATATACATTCACTATCAGTGACAAAATTATAAAAGTGCAAGGAATATATATGGAAAAAGCTTAGAAGAGGTACTGCAAACAAAAACTAGTACAATTTTCCTTAATGTGGACACTGTAATTAGGGGTGGGACGATATACCGATACACCGATACATATCGATATTTTCCTCCAAGATACGGTTTACGATACAAGCATTCAAATATCAGTACGAAACGATACACGAACGACCTATCCAAAAACTGAAAATGAAAGTACCTGACCTTGGAAAATGGCGGCTTGTACGAGCGAAGAGATGATGTTGATATTGAAAACACACTTTAGAACTAATAAGTCGTTGGTTAGGGGTAAAACATTATCTCTTTTTAGCAGCCTCGGAAGATTGGACAAGAAAAGTTCAGTATGTAATGCGTGCTATACACAGAAAATATCGTTTCCAGAACATTTGATATTATTAATTGTTAGTCCATCTTGAACTTTTTTTTTGTAATCTCAACTTGGCTACAGACTTTCAGCAGTGAATTAATAAAAATGTAAATGTGATCGATTTTTTTAAAATGAATTTTTAGTCAGTTTTCTCTGATAAACTACACAACTATTTGTAAACAACTTCTGAATTAGTGAATAGTAATTTGGTAATAATAGTATGTACATGCATTATTGTTTTTGTAAAGTTTTAGTCAATGAAATTGATGAACTTCAAGTATTAATTTCAAAGAAAACATGATTTGATACAGAATAATTTGTTCATTTAATGTCAAGACAAAAAAAGGAATAAAATACTAATTTTTCTGAATAGTTTTGTAATTTATCATAATATCGAGATACGTATCGTATCGTGACAATATATCGAGATACGTATCGTATCGCAAGATGTGTGTATCGTCCCACCCCTAACTGTAATTTAATTGAACTTGCTTGAAGACCGTATAGTTTGCACTAAAACCATCAAATCATTAAAAACTGCCCTCTACAGCCTAGTTGTTTCAGTTAAATCAACAAGCTCTCTAACAGTCTATCACTCTATGCATCAGGACCTGACTGACCAACTGCTCTCACCATCATAGAAAAGCCCAAAATAAATAATTTAATGTAGTCATTTTCCCCCTTTCTTATGCATAAATTTTAAGAATATTGTATAATGATATTAAATTTTTATCTTTTTCACATGACAGTGTTCCCAGTTCTCAGGGTGACCACTTAAGGACTGAAGATAAACCCCGATATGACTGGGTTGACATCACAGATGAATTCATGTCATCAGCTTCAGAACTCCAAATGGGGGAACTTCTCCATGACACAGGGTAAGTCATGATACATCATTACATCAGGGAACAAAACTCAGACAACTCCTTGATATGGTATAAGTTGTGATACTCTTCAGTAAAAGAGATTAAGATGGGAGGAGAATTAGTCCATGAGACAGGGTAAGTTATCACACCTTGGCTTGTTTCAGAGATCCAGATGCTAGATTTCCCAAATAAATATGTGTGTGTATGTGGGGTGGGGGGTTAATTTGTAATCATTCGGATGTCATTTGTTTCAAAGCGCCCTAATGGAGATTTCCATCATACCTTGGGTAACTAGGTTTTACATCAATCAAAGAAGTGAAAGTTCAAATTCTGCCATTAACAGCAACCATGTTACATTAAGTTGAAAATTTTGAGGGGAGCATGTCCTGGGATTCCCATTGTATATTCATTCCCACCAAGTGCTGATGTAGTGCAGTCATTCTCATATTCTCTCTTTTCACCATTTTCCCCCTTCCACAAAAAATGATATATAGTCAAATTAGAAAAACCTAGATAAATCACTGACATGTTTGTTGCATCATTAAAATTGTACAAAAAATACAGAAAGGATTAACCTTAAAAAATGATTAACACCCTAATTAATATTAACAGATTTGGACTGTTTGAAGCCATGTCAGCCATTGAGATGATGGACCCTAAGATGGATGCTGGTATGATGTGTAACCAGATACAGAGGAAAGTCCTGACCTTTGACCTGGCTTTAGAGGTACATTTCAACTCGTTTGTCATATATGATGTATACCATGTTAGATGTTATAATTAGCCAAACCTATAGCTAAGAAATTCAATAATAAGTCATCTAAAAATACGCCTTTAAACCCCTATAGAGAAAACAGTTTATATTGAAGACATCTAAGTCTTGAGTATTATTAGTTATCCAGATTCAGTCAAGAATGTACAGGGATTATTCAGGGTTTTATTCCATACACCCTGAGACCGAAGGCTGAAGGGTGTATGGAATACAACCCAGGGTAAATCCCCGTACAGCCTTGATTGGACCTGGATAACAAATTTATTTTCTATGTACCCAAATAAATTCTTTGTAAACATAAGTCCAATCAACTGTGTTTCAACCAATTGTGACGTCATGTTATTTGCTTTTTATCATAGAAAAACTGCATTGTTATTGTCTTGTTATTTATCTCCGGGTAAAGTTGAGAGTAAGGTAATTTACTCCCGGATTGCTAACCAATCAAATCTTGTGTTACAAGCTAGATAGAAAATAATGTTTAATTTATATATTTAATTTTGTATTGAGACTTGAGGAGAAATAACCATATTTTTCTGCATTCATTACAGAGTGGGGCCATTAAAATTAAAGACCTGACAATTCCAGAACTGATAGGCATTATGGACACATCCCTGGCTTGTTTGGTAAGCAATGTAGTTCTTATATGCTTGCATTGGGAATGATGTTGATACACAATGAGGAACCTGTTGATGTATATATTACATTATAGGACCCATTGTTTATTGCCATAGTTCAAAAAACAAGATTTTTCCTGTTTTGAATTCTGTAAGTTACTGGACACTGTATGTGCCATTTGCATAATTCCACTGAGAAAAAAGCACTGAAAGAATAAACAACACATGAGAGTACTATCATCTTTCTCACATTTCACATTTCTACTGTACACAGGCCACATGGTTGGAGGGTCATTCCTTGGCCCAGACAGTCTTTACAAATCTGTACCTACACAATCCATATGTGATTGAGGACAAATGTTTGAAGGCATTCAGCATCCTAATGTTGAAACTGGTGGACCATATCAGGGACAGGGTGAACAGGGCTGGGGTTTTTGAAGAGGTGAGTATGATTTTTACTGAAATTAATTTGTTTTAATAGATTTAATGTTTTTGGTGTGAGTACAATTTTGAATTCTGAATGGCAAGAATCTCCTTATCACAAAATGTCATCATGTTCATACACATGCGCCACTGCAGGTCAATATACTGTATACAGGGAACCCTCCCCCCCCCCAATTAATTTTTGCCCCTTTGGCCCTTGTCCTGATTGGGCAGATATGAAATAGGATGAATTCAAAGAATACAGCATTGTTTCTTAAACAGACAGTGTTTGCACACGTAAAAAAGTGAAGTAGGGGTAAGTAATCTTGTATACAGTAACTAAAGCTTCATCTGATGATTTCAATGATGCTTTGAGTTGTACTTCAACATATAAACAATATCATTCGAAAATTATCATCAAAGTTGTAGTGTTTGGAAAATGAAACAATAATAATAAATATTGACTTTATTGAGACAGTATAATCATTTAGTTAATGTCTCAAAGAATTTGATTCAACTCATCCATCAGTTCAAAAAAAAAGTT